GTGCGTCGCACCCTGCTCCTAGTGGAGCTTTGGTGAGTCATGAACCCACCTCGGCTAGGAAGCAGAAGCGCTTTTGGCGCGAGAAAGAGGCCGAGGTGGCCGTAGTGCTGGCCATTGGTATGTCCGAAATTGTTAGCAATGAGGTTGCTGTTTGCCCGAGGAGCGTACGTGGTGCCGCCACGTTATCCGCGGAGCGGTGCAGGTCAAGGTCAATGACCAACTGCTGGATCCCTGGTGAGGACGAGCGCGGAGTGGCCGCGTAATCCACTGAGTGGTATGAATCCTGGTCGATGACCTACCGGCTGCGTGACCCGAGGGTCGCGGTCGACTGCGAGTCGAGGCATCATGGGCGTGGCCCCAGGAGATGCAGGTGAAGTGACACCTAGTTCACTGTGTGAAGGTCAAGAACCTCTTGGCTTTCAGCCGAGTGTCTTGCGAGACACTGTATCCTCTTCGAGGAGTGATGGTGCTGCTGCACCCGGTGGTGGTGACGGAGATGTCGCCACACCGCCCTCATCCGGCCGGGCTCGGTCGCGGAGGGAGAGGAGAAGAAGACGCAGGGCGTCTGTGACGTCTTCGACGTCGGACGATGTGTCCAACGTGTCGATCGGTGATGCTCCACGTGATTGCTGTGAACAGCTGTATACACTCGGTAACGGAGTGACGGGGGAGGTAGAAGGCGATATCAGCCTTGACACTCTGCCCGCTGCAGATGCTCTGCTAGAGCTGGACGAGATGTCCATTGCCGAGTTTGGCAAAGCCTTAAAGGCAGGCGAGCTGGTCGAGGCGGTCCTGCTGGGACCAGAGGAAGAGTTGAACTCCTCATCCGTCGTGGACGACGCGGTCCTAGAGGACACCAAGAAGGCGCTGAGCGCAAGAAGTGGATCGGCGATCCTCAAAGATCCTTCGGATCCCTTCTACCCGGTGGTGAAGGAGTATGGAGACGTTGTCTCAAAAGACCCACCGACTCCGGGCCCTCCGGATCGAGGCGTGTGTCATGAGATTGACCTGGTTCCTGGAACCAAATACTGCGTAACAAGGCAATGGCCTTTGCCGAGAGAGCAGTGTGACGTCATTGACGCATTCTTCCGTGCGAAGCACGAGGCAGGGATGGTGCGTGAGAGTAAGTCTCCGCACTCGACACCCACGTTCTGTGTCAGAAAGCCGAACGGCAAGTGGCGCATTGTTCATGCTTTTAACAAGCTAAATGCGGCCACTATCCCGGCGCAAACGCCGATTCCTCGCAAGGATGTTCTGCAGAACAACATGGTAGGCTGTACGCTGTACAGCGCGCTCGACTTGGTCGATGGCTACTACCAATTGCTCATGAGAGCGAGCGACATTCCGCTGACAGCGGTGAGTACTCCGAGTGGTATGCTCTGGGAGTGGCTGGTGATGCCCCAGGGGCTGTCGAACGCACCAGCAACGTTCAATCGTCTTGTGACGCAGCTGTTTAGGCCCCACCGGGCGTACGCTCAAACGTACTTTGACGATATATTCGTCCATAGTCGTGCCGAGCACGGAAAGTCAGACGTGGATAACCACATTGACCACTTGCGAGCGGTGCTCGAGTGCATGCGCACTAATAAGTTGTATGCCAACTTGGACAAGTGCGTCTTTGGCGCGGAGGAGATACCTTTCCTCGGGTGCTTCATTGGGAAGCGTGGCTTACGGGCAGATCCTGCCAAAGTCAAGGCCATCGTGGACTGGCCGGTTCCCAAGAACCAAAAAGACTTACGCAAGTGGCTAGGCTTAGCCAATTACTTGCACAAGTACAGTGCGAACTACGCGGAGATGGCTCGGCCATTATCAGATCTCCTTAAGAAGGACGCACCATGGTGCTGGAACGTCGAGCACGACGGAGCCTTTGAGGCTGTGAAGGAGAGCCTTCTCCAGGCTCCGATCCTTGCGCTACCGGACCCGGATAGTCCGTTTAGCGTCGTCTGTGACGCCTCCGATTTTGCAATCGGTTGTGCTTTACTACAAGCAGACGCCGAAGGGCGTGAACGCGTGATCGCGTTTGAGTCTCGCCAGCTCAAAGCTGCAGAGAAGAACTATCCAGTTCATGACAAAGAGCTACTTGCAATGAAGTATGCTCTAGTCAAATTCAGGGTACACCTGCTAGGCTCTAAGCCTTTTGTGATCTTTACTGATCATGCGTCGTTACGCACTGCGACACAGTCGCCTCATCTCTCTCAGAGAATGGCAAGATGGCTTTCCTTCTTTGCCGAGTATAACTTCGAGGTGAAGTACAAGCCGGGGCGGCTTAATGTAGTGGCCGATGCGCTCTCGCGCAGGCCGGACTACGAGTTAGCTCATGTCACGACAGTGATGTCGTCAGTGCCTGACTTGATACGCGGAGCGTATGCACAAGACGACATGTGCGTAGCGCTGCTACGGGCTCTTGGGAGCGAAGAGTTTAAAGACTCTGACAAGGAATTGTCTGGGCGCTTACGCGCGAGGCTGCATCGATACTCGCTCGATGGCGGCCTGCTGTACTACAGCACCGACTCTGAGGATAACCCTCGTGTAGTCGTTCCTCATGATGAGGATCTAAAGTATCGAATCCTCTATGAGGTTCATGATACGCCCGTGGGCGGGCACTTAGGTCGGGAGAAGACCTATGGCTCGGTGAGCTCGATGTACTGGTGGCCCAAGATGTATAAGTGGGTTGGCACCTATGTACGCACGTGTGAGACGTGTCAACGGACGAAGTCCGCGCCGAGCACGGCA